TGGGGCAAGGATATGATTTAGTTTAGATACTTTTGAACACTAATCATCAAAGGTTTATTATTGTAAATGCCCAAAGTCTACAAAGACCGGGCTGGTTGGAAAACCATACGGATTAAGTCCTGACGTCTGACAACATAACTTTACGTCAATTTAACGTCAGAAGGAATCTCGCTTTGCAAAAGCGTGTCAGTTTCGACATAATTCGGAATTCGGCCCAATTCGCCTCTAATCTACTTTCATTTTTGGACCCGGCGTCGCGGGGCAGGCAAGTTTTGCTAAGATGGGCTTTTGCTGGCGCCGGGATAGGTGCGGGGAAGCATGGCACGTATATGTGTGTGGATTTTATGTGTCAAATGTTGTCCAGGTTCACTTACTTCCACGTCATCTTTCAGCTTTCTTCTTCAAAAAAACAGTCACAAATTCAGTCAATATTGTTAAACGGTCAAACGCCTTCACGCAGCACAGCACAGCACAGCACACCGACCGGCTACAGGTGGTGGGTGGTGGGGGGTCGAATTTGACCACAGTAACAACATGTGACGTCATCCCCTTCGTCTGCTACCGGGGCGATATGCAGGATAGGGAATGCCAAACCCTATTTGGACACGAAATACTGTCTGACAAATAAATGTGAGCCATTAAATGTATTTTTAGCGGCTGACTGAAAACAAGCCTTCAGCGGAAAGGTAGAAAGTCAGTTCTAGATTGCCCCAATAACTCTGTAGGCGCTGGCTGATGTGGTACTCAAACGTCGACTCTTTTCATACTTTAGTAGCTCCATATTTCTCATATTGCACGACACCACCCCGACGCCGACGCGAGCAGAACCCACAACTTTCTTTCCAAAACAAAAACAAAGCAATGGATCGCCGAGTATTGTGAGTATTATGCTTGTGGCGCGATAGTTTAACTGCATTTTCTTTAAGTTTCCCGTCTCCCCCAGGTACCGTACTGTAATAAGCGCCCTTGCCCTCGCGAAATGCTATTACGTCTTTTTTGGTCCAAAGCTAATCCATTCGTAAGTCAGT